AATGACCTTTGAACTCGCACTTTTCGTAACCGACTCAACCGCTTGGCTTACTACACACGACTCCTCCCGCACACCTGTCCGTCCGCAGGCGTGCCCGAGAGGTATTCGAATCTACCCACTAGTGTCGGAAAATAAAAATGAGTCCGGTTACCCGCATTAATCCGGGCCGCGAAATTTAAACTATATCTTCAACACTTCTATAAGCTGCCATAGTTCACGATTGCTCGTTAACATGTATGCACTGTGATTCATCAAAATCAATTATTTCTGAATGTCAATTGTTACTTTTTTATGGAATCTTTAAACTCGCACCAAGTAATTATGTTGTTTATTACTGGAATCACTTTTTTGTGTAGTTTTTTGTCGTGTTAATCAAAATTGGTACTTAATGATAAAAGTCGGCTTAAGACTTATTATTGTTCGGTTCCTGTCGCACGGAGCACCTTCAAACTGGTTTTTATGCAAATAGGTTGTTTTATTATAGAGTAAATATTTAATACTGAGATTTTAAAATTTGCATATCAGATTTATTGGAAGTGGTGTTTTTACCGTTGATAGAAAAAAATAACGGATATCGAGTCTGTAACTATATAGCTATAATTAAAGAAAATTCAAAATTGTATATGACCAATTTTCTAGAAATTTCTATACATTATTTAATACGCAGTTTACTCGTAAATAAATTGTTTTGTATGTACAGCACTCGTTAATGTATATTATGTGAGGTGTTGTTTTTTAATGTTCATTGTTAATCGGAATGAAAGTTGTAATATGTATAAATGAATTTGTTGCATAGTCATTTACTACGTGCCATGATAACTAATTAATAACTACCGCTCTCAAATATAAATAAAAGATAATTACATTATAGTATGGTTAACAGTGGTAGAGCCCACTTTAACATTAAGAAGACAGGCGTGAAGTGGAAGTAATTCCGCGTTTCGTCTGATGAGTGTGGTGCCGGAGGCCTAATTTAAGTTCCTTTCCCTTTCCACCCTTAAGAGGAAAGGATTGGAAGGAAAAGTGGATTTGACGGTGAGGAAGCGTAGGAAGGGGAATTATCCTCTTTATGGGCGTCTCCTCCTCTGTCAATTGAGGGTAGGCAACAGGTCTATGGGCGGCGGTCGCTTTCCATTTCGGTGGATTCAGGTGGCCGTTTGCTCGTTTGCCACCTTATTTTGTAAAAAAAAGGTTTACCTAGAAGGTATGCAAATATGTGTCTTTGACTTGCACAAGCTTGGGATAACTTAACTCTTGCTTGAATTTCCCACAGGACATTCCAAAATTCGTCAAAAAAAATCTATCGACCAAATTAGACTTTAGTGAAAATATTACAAATTATAATTCATTTTTGAATATCCTACATATATTGAACATGGGATCAATTGGAAATAAACACCGCATAATTTATTGCTTTTTTATTTCAATACCAAACTGTTTTCCGACCCAGATGCGAGCTTCTTTTCGCTCCAATCTGCCATTCCAAAGGTTCTTAATACTATATTAAATAAGATTTAGAGATAGGTGTTGACTGTTGCATAGCTCGATCCAGATGTTATGGTCCGAGCGGGAAGGGGGCTTGTGATTTACCATCCGTGGGCAAGAGCGGGG